AGATGAACCATGAGAGACTATGGACTCTGAGAAACAAACTGAGGGTTCTAGAGGGGAGGGGGTGGGGGGATGGGTTAGTCTGATAATGGGTATTAAAGAGGGCATGAACTGCATGGAGCACTGGGTGTTATACGCAAGCAATGAATCATGGAACACTACATCAAAAACAAATGATGTAATGTATGGTGATTAACATAACACAATAAAATTAAAAAATAACATTTGTGCTTTAATTTATAATTTTGTGTATTTACCACATAATTTCTCTTCATGTAGCCAACACATGGAAGATATTTTAATGCAATATAAAGACAGCATTTATCCTTAAAGCAAAATGTGGTTTGTCACTATTTTGTTTTTTTGTTTGTTTTGTTTTCTTGTTTTGTTTTTTTTTCTTTGGTTTGTCGCTATTTTGTACAGTAGATCTCTAAGTTTTATTCATCTTGCATTACTAAAAGTTTGTAACCTCTGATTAACACCTCCCCATTTCTCCCTCCTCCATCCCCTGGCAACCACTATTCTACTCTGCGCTTCTTTGAGTTTGACTATTTAGATTTCTCTTATAAGTGGTATTATGTAGTATTTTTCCTTCTGTGTCAGGCTTACTTCACTTTGCATAATGTCCGCCAAATTCAACCAGGTTATCACAAATGGCAGGATTTATTTCTTTTTTGATCCTGAATAATATTCCATTGTATTTATATACCACATTTTCCTTATCCATTCATCTGTCAGTGGACAGATGGCTATTATAAATAATGCTGCAGTGAACATGGGAGTGCTTGTATCTCTTTGAGATCCTGATTTCAACTTCTCTGAATAAATACCCAGGAGTGGGCTTGGTGGATCAGATGGTAATTCTATTTTTAATTTTTTGAGGAACCTCTGTACTTTTTTCCATAGTGGCTGTACCAATTTACATTCCCACCAACACTGTACACTCTTTACAGCATCCTCACAACACTGTTTTTTTTTTTTATAATAGCCATCTTAACAAGTGTGAGGTGACTTCACATCATGGTTTTCATATGCATTTCCCTGATGACTAGTGACATTGGGCACATTTTCATATAATTATTGTCCATTTGTAAGTCATTTAGGGGGAAATATCTATTCAAGTCTTTTGCCTATTTTTTAGTCAGGTTATTTGGTGTTTTGCTATTGAATTGTAGGAGTTCTTCATATATTTTGGATTTATTAGATGTATGTTTGCAATATTTTTTTCCATTACTTAAGAGGTCTTTCATTTTGTTGATGGTTTCCTTTGTTGTACAGAAGCTTTTTTTAGTTTGCTGTAGCTCTAATTGTCTATTTTTGCTTTTGTTGCATGTGCTTTCACTTTCATATCCAAGAAATCATTGAAGACCAATGTCAAGAAGATTTTCTCTATGTATTCTTCTGGTAGTGTTATAGTTTCAGGACTTAAGGCTGAATTGTATGCTTAAAAGTTTAAGAGGCTATATTATATATTCTTATAAAAAAATAATACTAGGGAGAGAGGAGGAAACTTTTGGAAGTGATGGATATATTTATGGCATAGATTGTGGCAATGATTTTATGGGCATATACTTATCCCCAAACTCATCAAGTTTTTTACATTAAGTATGCACAGCCTTTTGTATGTCAATCATACCTCAATAAAGTGGTTTTAAAAAATGAACGTAGCTTGGGGCACCTGGGTGGCTCAGTTGGTTAAGTTCCCAACTCTTAATTTCATCTCAAACCATGATCTCAGGGTCTTGAGATCAAGCCCTGTGTCAGCTCTGTGCTCAGCATGAAGTGGGCTTGAGATTCTCTTTCTCACTCTCCCTCTACTCCTCCCCACCGCTACCGCTCACACACACTGTCTGTCTCTCTCAAATAAATAAATAAATAAAATCTTAAAAAAAAATGTAGTTTATCAAATTTTCAATTGACCAAAAGATAAAAAAAAAAAAATTTAGACTAACAAATCCTTCTTCAATAGCCCTTCCTCACTTCTCATTCCTGGTTTTTTTTCTGGATCACAGACTATGTCTTGAAGACTACAGGAAAATCAAAAAATGTATTTTCATGCTGAATGTAAACAATCATGTCAGTAGCAGAATTGGCATTACAATGCCCTACTATATTTTCAAGGCTATGCAAACATCTATCATGTGTCCCTCCTTCCTCAAAAAGGATTTTAACCCAAAAAGGATTATGAACAATAAGAATCATTAAAAGACCATGTATATAGATCCTAAAGAACAAATATTTCAGGCATCTCAAGCTCTTCTTTAGTTTGATAGGGATATACTGAAATGAATTGGCTTTCAGAGCTATAATTAAAATTATGAAAAATTCCAAGGATTAGAGATTACATATTTGGATTCCAAAAATCCTCTTTGAATAGTGATTCACAAGAGCATGGAATCATGCTTTAAAATTAGCAAGCAGAAATGCCTATTTCCATGGCTTTAAACAATAGTATTACTCAATATTAGTAAGACCAATAATTATTATCAGAATAAAAAGCATTTACTGATGAGAATTATGTGCACTTTAAACAAGAATTAGAACTTTTCATATGTTAATTTTTATAAACCATCTGTGAATATATTTGATGAAAAACACATCACAGTGATAAGGTTTTGTTTGTTGTTATTAAAGAAGTTATATTTAATTGGTTTTTGTGATGGTTCTATAATACAGTAAAAATTATGTAAAGGTGAAGAAACACACTTTGTCATAGGATGGCTCATTAGTCATGTAAAAGAAAATTAATAAGGGGAGAAGTAAACAGAAACAATAATTTTTAAAAAGTGTTTGATCATATTTTAATATAATAATCTAAAATCTAGATTTCTTTGGACTGTTATAGAAACATGTTTATTACAGAAATGATTGCAAATAGCCTTTTAAAAATAAGAAGTGGCATTGAAGATAGAAACAAAGCTGAGAGTCGAAGTTTCTGATATTTAAGAGTCCGATTTATTAAAGATCAAGGCGTGTTCTATATATCTAAGCTGATAAATATCCCATAGCTTGTCGTAAATGAGGAAAAATCTCTCCAAATATCTAATTAATGTTTGCATCACAGACACTAAAAATTGAAAGAAATAGCTGAAGAAACATCAAATTGTCATTCAGTAGCAGTATAACTATATAACATAACTTTTTCTGCTGAAGAATTTATATTTCACACTGAAATTCTGAAAAGTGAAACTAAAGTTTATGGGATTTCAAACTATTTTGAAACCAGCAGTAAGGTGTCAAATGCTGAAAAGTGCACTAGAATAGCAGTGAGGAGATCTAGATAATTCTACAAACTTTTAACCTCAGGCAAGTCATTTAATTAACATTGGATTTGGTTATTAATTTGTCAAATGAGAGGTTAGATCTCATGCTCTGGGAAATCCCATATCAGTTAAATATCTATGAACTTGATATATTAATAATAATCACAGGTATCAATGTCTATTTTCTATGAAATGTCTATTTTGTGTCAAGTGATAAACCAGACTTTTTGCATGGAATATCTTAATCTTCACAGTAGAAATATCTTCATTTCAGAGATTTGGAAACAGAGACTCAGGGAATGTAACTTGCCCAACAGACAACTAATAAATGCAGGAGCTGGGATTCCAGCTGAGCTCTGTCTGTCTTCCTGCCCTCATGCCAACTTGATCATACATTCTGATTTTTATCCAACTGATGACAGAATATTCAATCATTCAAGCTGCATGACAAAACTTAAAATAATTGCTCAACTATCACATAATGGCATTTAAAAAGCTTCTATCTGAACCATAACCATCAATGATTCAATAAAGAAGTTTTTATTACTTACAGCTGTTCCAAGGATATGAGTCCTTTAAATGTTTGCTTATCTAGGGCATGAATTTCATTCTTGTACAGATACCTGAAAAACATATAAAATCCTATTAAGTTATAAATTTGCAAATATACCACCTTTCTTATATCAGGAATTTTTAAACTGCAGTGTGGCTCTAAAGAGCTTTAGAATGTTAATAGATTCCCTAAAAATATATGGAAATTTTGATTTCATTTGAATATGTTCAAGTATCTGGGTAAGACAGTTCCAAGGCTCTCATCAGATTCTCAAAGAAATCCTTGATCCAAAATATTAAGAATCACTGCCTTAACCTCTAAAACTTAGATTGTAGAAAAATTCTGACTAATGAGGTCACGTGTACTGGGTAGCATCTTCTCTAAGACAAAGAAAAGTTTGACTACAACAATTTTTTCAAATTCATTCTATCATACAGAATATATTGAACTAGGAGTTACATTTGCAAAGCTGGCAAATATCATAGGATTCATCTGAGGGGGATAAACACATATTAACAGATCCACAAGATGTATTTTGGTTCTCCCATGGCTACTGCTGAAAACCTACAGGAAAGGATACTGTTAATGGATTTAGAAATATGATAATGTAACTAATCTGGCCAAAAGATTTGATGAAAACAATTTCCATAACATATGAGCACTATGTCCTTCTTTCTTCAACTATGGGATGGCAAAGTTATTTCATTTTTAAATCTCAGTGTGAATATTTGGTGAATGTCATGAAACTGAAACCTACATCTTTTCTACTTGTGCCTCTGGGGATCTGAGGTGATCAGAATTCCTGAAACTTTCTACCAAGTTCCTCTGGATTGCACCTTTGCATAAGCTAGAGCTCACAGTGATTTTTTTTTTAACATTATTTATTTATTTAACAAAGAGAGACAGTGAAAGAGGGAACACAAGCAGGGGGAGTGGGAGAGGGAGAAGCAGGCTTCCTGCTGAGCAGGGAGCCCAACCTGGGACTCAATCCCAGGACTCTGGGATCATGACCTGAGCTTAAGGCAGATGCTTAACAACTGAGCCACCCAGGTGCCCCCTCACAGTGATTTTGAATGCTTCAGAATCACCTGGTGGTGTGTTAAAAGCACTGACTCCTGAGCATACCCCCAAACCTCCTCAATCCAATTCTCTTGGGGTGAGGTCTAGGAAACTGCATGTTTATCAAGTTTCCCAGTTGATTCTGAAGCAATCTCTCAGCAGATGACTTAAAAACCATAGACACCATAGAAATCACAATTCTAGTTGAAAATAAAAAAGAGATTGCTTTTCCAAAATGTGCTTAGTAAAGCTTTGGAAGTTCCAAATTACTTTCTCTTCCCACAGATTAGAACTTCTGTTAAGTTTCTCAGAGGAGTAGTAGTAACTCGTAGAGATATATGCCTAACTGGAGATATTTCCTTAGCATTACTTGATACTATGGAAGATCTTGATTTGACCTAAAATCTCAGAAATATAGCTACATGTTAGGATGACAAAAAAAAAAATTTCTAGAACCATGTTCTTCAACTAGCTCATAAGGAGTATTGAGCTGGGGTCTCAAAAAGCGCCACTGGTTCTCAACTGTGGTTGTGATGTGGGAAACAAAGGCAGAAGAAAAAAACATCTTACTACTTAACAGCCCATTGACAAGTCCTTGAAACAGGCAGAGTGACATTCCTCTAGGAACTCGGTTGCCTTGATGTTAATACTTTGCTAAGGGCAAAAGGCAATCTTAGCCTGACCCCCAGGGTTCTGTAAGTCTTGTATAACATATGAAAATTCCTTTGGAAACTTCTTTTATCTTTATCCCCCAAGATACATGTTGGCAATCATCCTCCAAGCATATGACCCACCGATATACATCTGAAGAGTCTCATGACTGAGTTTTTACTAAACAGTAATAAATGACCTTTTTCTAACAATAGCTAGCCCCTTAAGGATTCTGGAAACCTTGTTTCCAAAATACCTGGGAGGTTTATGCTATCCCTAACCCGCTTCCAACTTGAAAGTATATAATGGGCCACTCCTCATGACCCGGGTGCAACTCTTTGCCCGTGGGTCCTTAACCTGTGCTTTAATAAAACCACCTTTTTGTACCAAAGATGTCTCAAGAATTCTTTCTTGGCCACTGGCTTCAAACACTAACATCTTTCCTACATCAATTGTGTGTGAATCAGTGTATAGGTATATGAATCAATATTTCTAAGACATAATTTTGAGCTTTATCTCAGGCCTTATACTGATGGATGGGATACTGCCTCCACAAACTCTGATTTAATAGTGGGTCTGGCATGTGGAATAAGATAATAATATGCAGAAAATTTTAAAATCTCTATTACAGGGGTATAGACCAGGTAAAAAGTATTTTGTAAATTTATTCCAGAGGATTCAGATACACCTCCCTGGTAAGGACCCTCAGACTATCAGAATGTCAAAGAACCACATTACTTTTCAGGCATCATATCTTGAGGCATAAAAAAATTGACCCAATTTCTGTAGAGATATGTATAATGGCTTAAAATTTTTTTATTATTATCATATTTAAATAATGATGAGCTGTTTCATAAAAATTAAACTAAATTAAATATTCATTGAGGAGTCAAATGAATATTTTCAAAACTGAAAACCACCTATAAAATTTTACATTATATATACAGATTCATTTTAAACTTATATTTTATAGAAAACTAAAAAGTTGACCAAATAGTAGTGAAAAAAGAAGCAATAGAACTTCTATAGTTAAATCAGTACATGTTGATTAAAATGATAAAGTATACAGTCAAGATACACTGCTACTTAAGTTAACACCAGCAAGAGAAATTCTAGCTTCCTGTGGGATCATGGTAACCACCTGAATTCAAATCTCTCCACACATCTTGAAAACAAACTAAGAGGGAAAAACAAATCAGCCAGAATACAATCTATGCCATGACTAGGAGAAAGAGAAAATTAGTAACTTCAATTTACATTTAAGCAGGGGAAATATTAACACCAGCAAAGTCAGCTCCAGAGGCTGCTTTGCAGAAAGGAGTCAGGCAAGATTTTATAGACAAGGGGCATGGGAGAAGGGGGTGGAACAGGAAAGCTGAGAAATACCAACCTAATGAAAATCTGCCTGAGCCCTGGGGGATCAGAGCCCTAGCTCCTGGGAATTGACAGAAAGGGGCTGGGAAAGTGAATGGGGGAAGCACCTCACAATTTCAAGGTGTCTTGTGGAGGAGTGGCATTAAAGGTAAAGAAGGAAGTAAAAGCTAAAGGATCTTACAGAGATAATATAGAATCTGAAGACACACCAAGGGGCGCCTGGGTTGCTCAATGGGGAGCCTGCTTCTCCCTTTGCCACTCCCTCTGCTTATGCTTTCTTGCCCTCTCTGTCAAATAAATAAATAAAACCTTTTTAAAAAATTTAAAAAATAAAGGCACACCAAAAAAGGCTATACTTAATAAGGAAATTGTGCTTCACTCTGTCAACAGAAGGGCATGGCCTTGAACTAAGAAATAAGCCATCCAAAGTTCTCTCCTCTACCTTCATATTTAATCACCTGTTACTCAAATCAAATGTTAGCATCTAAACTTGAGAAACATTGCACAAGAAAACAATAAACTCATCTTATCTTTGAATATCAATGCAAAATTAATAAAAATATTAGCAAACTGAACTCACCATTTAATAGTTCTAAGGAGCAATATTTATGATTATATTCTAAAATACCAAAAAAACCCATATTGATATCTATTTATATTTCTGGATGCCATGGTAGTATAACTGGAAATTGCAAAATAATTGCTGCCAAAATTATTAAAAACAAGAAAATTTAGGGGCACCTGGGTGGCTCAGTTGGTTTAGCGACTGCCTTCAGCTCAGGTCATGATCCTGGAGTCCTGGGATCAAGTCCCATATCGGGCTCCCTGCTTAGCAGGGAGTCTGCTTCTCCCTCTGACCCTCCCCCCTCTTGTGCCTCTCTCTCTCTCTTCATTCTCTCTCTCTCAAATAAATAAATAAATTTTAAAAAAAAACAAGAAAATTTAGTAGGATTACAAAATATAAAATTAACATACAATATCAAAAACCTTTGCATATTCAAATAAAGGATATAATAGAAAAGAATACACCACATATAACAGTAACAGGAAAAAGAAAACTAGGAAAATTTGAAATACACAAGCCTACATGAGAAGAAATAAATCAAATGGAAAGACATCTTGAATAAGATGCCTCAAAACTAAAATATACCATTTTTCCCTCATTAATTTTCATATACATTCAAAGTGATTCCAATAAAAATACGAACAAATTTTTATAGAGGTATATAAATTGATTCTAATGTTCCTATAGAGAAGTAAACAAATAAGAATAGCTAGATACACCCTAATAAAGAAGAGCAATGAGGAGACACACTATAACATATATTTAGAAAACTCAATAAAGCCTCTATAATTAAACCAGTATGGTTTTGGCACATGAATAGTCCAACAGGAAAAACAAAATAAATGGTCTAGCTGAAGAACTAATTACGTATGTAAATTTAGTATATAATATAGATTCATTTTCAAATCATTGGTGTTGAGAAAACAATGAATTCTTTTATTGATGGAATTGGGGAAGCTTTTCTAACCATGACTCAAAATCCAGAAATAATTCAAAAATAATAAATTTTTTAAATAATAAAACTTTACATGGCAAAAAATTTCATACCTAAGTCAAAAAAGAAAGGGAACATTTTGAAAACTAATATCACAGAAAGATTAAAATTTGAGAAAACAAAAATTCAATCATAAAATGGGCAAAAACCATCACAGACTGCACATTTAACATATATAAAAATGATGCAATGCATGAAAAGATATTAAACTACACTCATAATAAGGTCAATGCAAATTAACACTATACTGAAATATCATTTCTACCCTATCACCCTGAGGGAAAAAGTCCTAAATCCTGTCAACATGACCTGCTGCTGAGATTGTATGGAAGCCTACACTCTTGTGCATCGCTAGTGAGAATGCAAAATGGCACAACGCTTAGGGAATTAATTTGAGCAATATACACAAGAAATTGACTATACATTT